CTCAAATGAAGGCAAATATGACATTTGGACATGCTGCTTTGCATCAATGTTCTAAAAGGCGTAATGCGTGGAAGCCAAGCTCTGGACAGGCGAGTCACAGGCGTAAAAAGGTGTTTTCTTATATTAATATTATTTTAATTTTTAATCAATCGAAAAATCGTTTAATAATTAAAAATATTACCTGCCTAACATCTAAAACAAATTTATAGGAAATTCATACATTTTTCCAAAGTTTTCGATAAAAAGATAAGTTCTAAATGTAAATATCAAATAGTAAATAAATAGGAATTTTTGGGAGATTTTTTTTGTTCAAGATTTCAAGCGACTATTTTGAATTTAGAACCGACGAAGTGAAGAAATTAACATTTAAGTTTTAACTTTAAAAATAAAAAATTCAAAATTCAAAATTCAAAAAAAAGTCAATTATGTGCGCCTAGATGCATATAACCGTGCCTAGGCGCGCATTAGTGGTCAATGATTGCTGTTGATTACTAAATAAGGCGTCAAACCACTTGGCTTGGCATTTCCGTAAGTGGCTTTGCATTTCTGCTGCGCCTTTTAGAAAAGTGCTTTGCATTTAAGGACAAACATGATTTCATGTGGGCCCAGCTGAGATGACAGGAAATCGATTCTGGATTTTCCAAAAGTACGCCTACTTATTACATCTATCACAATCCAATGACAAAATAAAAGAGAGTTCAAAGGGGGGAAAAATCATAATTATAAGCAACAATACGATTGAGTGAAAATCAGACTATGATTTAAATATATTGATGATAAAATAAGTTGGTGATTGAGTGAATGTGGATGTTAAATATTTGGAAGACAGGAGATAATTTTGACAATTTGAAGTTAAAACTTATTAAAAATGAAGAAAAAGTATTTTTGAGGTTCAGGAGTTGAACCCTGATAGTGAAATTTAGAATTTTTTTTTTTTTTTTTAATAGAGAAACTGGGAAAATGTGCATAATTATCTAATTATTGAAATTAAATGGTAGAGGAATTGGATACTTCTAATAAGTTCTCTAGTTATTGTCACAAGCTGGATTTTAATCTGCGATTGATCATGAGGGCTTGAGTCAAGTTGTTCCGATCTTGCACTCCTTATATTATCCAGTCTGCCATCCTCTTTGGGCTCTCCAAATTTTGAAATCACCATTTTCATCTTTGAGAACCCAAATTATTCCAGTTTTTACTGTATGGCACCAACTGCTTCGTTGATTAGGTGGATCACTTTATCAACCCTACAACTCCCCATGGTTGAATGGTTTCTCAAGTGATGTGTACATGTTGAATATTTCTTGTCTCTCTCCTACCCTCAAAAACAATTCAAGCTTCTCATGTCAATTTAGGATCAAACCATAGCTAAGAATGGTCAACTCAATATAACTGAAATGTCTTAATCTTCTTCCATGTCAACACAATGAAATCAGTTGAGAACACCAGTTTTCCCACTTTAATGACTATGTCTCAAGAGGGAATTCGGGAACGGGACTAAATAAAATTTCAAGTCGAGCTAATATATAAAAAAATTACACACAAGGAGAATTAACTAAAATCGTACCTATTAACAACACTACTCAAAAATAAGATTGTCTGGTTTTAAATTGACAAATCAAGTGTTAATACAAATTTATTAATTAATACATTATTAATATGAAAACCATTTTAACATAAAATCTCTTACTACTTTCCCTTAACTTATCACATAAAAAGCCTCAGAAATTAACTTGGCTCTGGTGACAAAAAAAGGGTTACTTCGGCGATCGTTGCAGAAAAGCCTACTTACGAGGCCAGCCCCTACGAACAAATCTATCGACCAATTGCCTCCTACTCCTTGGGATGTTTTGTCCCTAAATTGGAGTAATGGGTCGGGTTCTTGTGATGGATTCTCAGTCAAATCATCAGCCTCCTCCAAACAAGAAAACCAGAAGATGTCATTTTTAAAGATCTACTTGATTTTGCGAAAGCCAAGTCGTCATCACCTAAAACTAATATGCCATTATAAGTAGGGCTGCATACAAAAATTGCGAAACCGCAAATCGAATCGAAACCATTGAGTTGAAATTGCTGGTTTGGGTCCACGTGGACCCGTGGTTTTTTCCCTCAAATCGAACCAAACCGTTTCAAAATGGTTTGGTTTAAGTTTTGATTTTAAAAAATCGCACAAAATCGAATCGAACCATTTTAAAATTTTTAATTAAAACAGTTTTCACTTTTCTCAGAAAAATACTAATTTAGCAATACAAATTACAACCAGTTCAATCTATTGAACTAACAATCGAAAGTAAATTAGGTTTATCATTATTGGCCTATAGTTTAATGAGATCACAACGTGTCCTCGCCTTATATCTAAACTAAACTAAAATTACTCCAAAACCATATGAGAAAAAAAAAAAAAAAAACACATTTTCAACAATCCAAATCATAATTCAACAAAGCTATGTTAGCAAATTACGTCCAAAATTTCAAAAACCCTAATATAAACTCTCATTTCCCTAACATTTGACGCTTGTTCGTCACTGTTGAACGAATTGCCAGACAGCTTTGCTTGTTAGTCTGCTAATTTTTACGTGAATCGCCTCTTTTTCTCCTCTTACAGTAAGTCTCAAATTCTCATTCAAGTCATTTTTTAGTTGTTTCTTTTATTTGTTGTTTTTGAATTTATTATACACTTGTGATTTGTAGTTTGGATAGGAAAATGACTATTTGTGTGTCTAGAAGGTTAATGAACTTGTTTGTGGTTTGGAAAAAATGAAGGATGGAGCGTATTGATTGTATGAAAATGTTAAAAGTTCCCTAACTTTTACTACTACTTTCTACTTATATAAAATAGTTAGAGAATAAAATTCGTCAATTCCTAATAAGTCGAAATTCTATCGGTCTTTGTACGTTGAAACATATCCCGTTCAATCTTTATTTAATATCTCACTAGCAAGACGAAAGGAGTTTTAACCAAATTATATAGCAGAATGTAACTCTACCGTTACCAATCGCTATATGACTATATGACTGTCAAACAAGAAATGGTAAATAAAAAAAATGTATTTGTTCTATTAATATCTTTTAGCAACCAACTTAGAATATAATTTATTCAGGGATTTCATGGTAAATATGAATGTAACCAACTTGGAAATATTACTTACTTGACTCAAGAATCTTTACCCTTTGTCATTGAGAAATAAATATATTTACAATTGTTGATTGCCAATTAAATAATGTTGAAGGAATATTGCTTAATCCCCTGAAGAATATTTACCTATTGTCGTTGAGAAATGGATATATGTACTGTTGTTGACTTTTCATTCTCATTTTAAGGAAAATTCTCCACTTTTGCTATATATTTATTGTAGGATGCAGGAAAATCCAGAACGCCAAAAGTTTCTCCAAATCTTTTTGCAGATAGATTAAGTGCTGTACCTGATGAACATTTGCACCACATTTTATCATATGTACAAAGTTCGTCTTGGCTACTTGTGGTAATTCTCAGAGATTGCTAAATGTTTTTGGTTCTATGCCTAACATCATTCTAGATGATTCCTTATTTAGGACAAGTAGATACAAGGATTTTGAGATTTTACCACGGTGGCCTTAGACAAATAACGCTCCGAACTAAAATTCGTCGATTTCAACTCAAATGTATTTTGACTTCAGCAATAGTGGAGTCCAAACAATGGTGCATGTTGCAATATGGAGAAATGCAAAAGAAATTGATATTTGCACGGGAACCCTTGCAATTTGCACGCGTACCATTGTTTGGATTCCACTATTGCTGAAATCAAAAATACATTTGAGTTGAAATCAATAAATTTTAGTTCGGAGCATTATTTGCCTAAGGCCAACCGTGGTAAAATCTAACTCAAAATCCTTGTAGCTACTTGTCCTAAATAAGGAATAATCTAGAATGATGTTAGGCATGGAATGAAAAACATTTAGCAATCTCCGAGAATTAACACAAGTAGCCATGACGAACTTTGTATCTACATATGATAAAATGCGGTGCAAAAGTTCATTAGGTACAGTACTTAGTCTGTTTACAAAAAGATTTGGGGAAATTTCTAGCGTTTTGGATTTTCTTGCATCCGACAGTAAATATATCAGGGTTAGGGTTAGAATGACTAAAATTTCTGGCGTTCTAGATTTTCTTGCATCCTACAGTAAATATATAGCAAAAGCTAGTGGAGAATTTTTCTTAAAATGGGAATGAATGGTTAACAATAATACATATATCCATTGCTCAACGAGAGTAGGTATTCTTCAGGCGATTAAGTAATATTCCTTCAAAATTATTCAATTAGTAGTCAACAATTGTACATATATCCATTTCTCAAAAGGTAAAGTTTCTTGAAGTGATATTTTTTCGAAACAATTCAATTGGCATAATCTTTGGCAGTTGGCATAAATCCATAATGATAAGGTTAATTTAACTTATAATTTTTCGAGAAAACAAAAATCTCACAATAGAATGGTGGCGGTTGAGCCGGAGGCAGTGGTTAAGGAGAGTGAGAACGGAGAGGTAGAATTGCATTGCCCCTTCTGATGATGAAGGAAGTGGTGTTCGTGTTTGAAAAACAAAATGTTGATATAATAAGAAAAAAAGGGTTTTCTTGTTTGGCTAGTTTAGTGAGCAAGCGGGGAAAAAATTGAAAATCAAATTAAAAAAATTGGAGTTTTACCTATTTCAATTTTGTTGGATTTTTTTAGTTTTGTAATTTTGTTAATTGGTACTTTTAATCACATCTATTAAAATCTACGACTTTTATATTTTTTATCCGCACATTTTATAAGCCTCTTGTTTGAGCTCCATTTTAATTGAGTATTTTTTTTTTTTTGAAAAAATATATTCTGAAATAGTGATCTTTTAAGAATGTATGGTTAAAAAAGAATAAAAAGTTTTGAGTTTACGTGTAATATTATTTTATTAGAGAATGTGTACTATGTAGTTAAAAAGAAGAAAGAGAAAAATGTATTTTAGAAATAATGGAGGCCAAACAGGGGGTAAATCTCAACATTTTTTTTGTTAAATCAGGCTAAATATTAAAAGAGTTTATTATATCAAAAATTATACTTAACCAAACACAAAAATATCACCAACAAGGAGTAATCTATAGGGTCTAACACGCACTTGTTTGTGCCTTAAATCCACTTCTTTTGGCCCATTGGAACACGAGGTCTATCTCTTCCTCTAGACACACAAGGTTACAATAAAGGCATTAATTTTGATCCAACTTAGCAAGTAGTCTACTCCATTTTATCAAGTTTCCAGTCCAATGCACGACTTAAGGACTCGTCGAGCAATTGTCACATTACATGGGAAGGCTGAGGAAGTTGTAAGTGAAAAGAACTAGAAGGTGAATCGTCTTCCAGACTTATGTCACTTAGAATAGAATCCTCCGCCTCAGTCCTCCTTCAACCATCATCCACTAATAACATATCAACTAACTCGTAAGCTTCGTCAACAATGACAGCATACAACATCCACATGCTACAAATATTATTTTCAATCATAATTATGTTGGGTTTATTAATTTGTTACGTGGGCTTACATATATAATTAACTGTGTATAAGGTTATCTTAAAGTTAAGCTTAATTAAAGTGATTTAATAAAGAATTAAATTGTTCGGTGTAGGGCATTCAAATAAGGTGTGGACACATTCTTTATGTCATCACATCAACACAATAATACAAGAGGAAACATATTGAAGAAGATCCAAAACCTACAATCAAACCCACAATCAAGAATTAAGATGATCAATAACCAATATTCAAGATCCGGAATTAAGATGCAGTATTAAAGAAATATTCCCAATGAATTAAGGTATGTTCCACACTTTATAATTCTCGTGATGACTTGACTGGAGGATCTTGACAATAAAGTAATTATATTTTCTAGTTTTGAGATTTGATGTTTCAACGAGTGGTATTAGAGCCAACTCCATGTTAAACCATTGAGATTAAAGGAAGATTTTAGGGTTAAATTCATACTTTGGTTTTACAAAACGTTGGGTTGTGAATTTCAAATCCTAGGTATCAAAATTTTGGAATTTTTGGGATTTTTCAGTATTGCTACAGCGTCGTAGCATTGCGACGCCATGTTAGGGCGTCACGAGCTGCGTTCAGTTAAGTTGGCAACGCCCTATTGCCGCTGGGTATTGCAGCGCCCTAATTCTATCCCCATTATTTTTTTTCTTTCGGACACAGAAGAGAAAAATAAAAATAAAATATAAAGGTATCATCAATTTCAAATCTTAGTACTTAATATTTATTTCAGATTACTAATTTCTTAAAATAGATTAGTTGAAGTAACATATTATCAAAGTAACCTCTCTTGTCTAAATTAATTTATTTAGAATATTAGGAGGGTTGTGTGTATGTTATTCATTCGAATATTCACCGGTCCAAATAAAAGGTCAATATTTGGCTGAACTATTTGCACACGTGGTAATAAATGTGACAATTGTAATGTTTTTCATTATGTTAACAATGAGTTAGTCCAAAGATAAACTTGATCTTTGATCAGATTTATTGTCAATATTTGATTACTATACTAAGACTACAACTTACTAGATATTTTCGTCCGAAGATTAAATTTCAATGCTGTGCTAGATCTCTTGTGATGGGACGCACCATTATTTGAAATTATCGATTGTCCAATATGGATTCCATGTGAACATGTTAATTAGGTTTAAGTTTTCTATTAAGTTAATCCATCAACTTCTACAATTTCTGCCAACATCATTTCAATTCTTGTGCTTGAATCAAAATTTAAGGACTGGAATGAGAACGTTTTCATTGTTCTTAGCGGCATGGATCTAGACCTTGCTTTAAGGATTGAACAATCCACTGCTCTTACGGATAAAATTTTCACTAATAAAAAGGGACTCAAATAAGTGGAATCATTTAAACCGCATGGATCTTGTGATCATAAAACATGGAGTTCCACTAACATTCAGGGGCCTAAGGTAACTAATGCCAAGGGATTTCTTAAAGAAATTGAAAAAAAGCTTTCCAAAAAGCAATAGGGCTGAAATTAGCTCGCTTCTGGCGAACTTGGCTTCGTTAAAGAATAAGGTTGAATAAAACATAAATGAGTAGTACATTATGGATGTCTCGTCTTGCTTTAAGATTAAAGGCATTAAAGTTTAAGTTGTTTGATGACTTTCTCGTGCATTTGATTTTGATTTCTCTTCTTGCACAACTCGATTAATTTAAGGTCAGTTACAGTTGCCAAAAAGGGAATGGACTCCCTATGAGCTCATTTCACATTGTGTGAGAGAAGAAAAATGTTTAAAGTAAGAGAGAACTGGAAATACTTACTTGGTTAGTACCTCTAATAACAAGTTAAAGAAAAAGGAAACTGCATTTGGTTCAGTTCAAAAGAAGCAGCAAAAGCTGAAAAGAATTAAGCAAGAGAGCCAACTGGCGGCAAGTTCTTGTATATAAAAAAATGCAAGCAATTGTCTTGACTCAATCAATGATCTGATTTACCAAAATCATTGGGAAAAAGTATTTATTTTTAAAATAATTACAGGGTGGACGGGGACTATAAATATCCAGCCTCTGCTGCATGCAAAAGCGCAAGCCTCTCCTACAGAGTCTATTCTTCACCACATTAATTTCCTCCATTATTAAGCTTTTGATTTCATTTTTTAAGCGAAAATATGGAAATCTAAAAAAAAATAAATTAAAAGGTTTTCAAGCTGCCGGGGAGTCTCTTTTGAGATTAAACCACATTCTGATCCATTTGCCCTCCCAACTTCGGCCATAATGGAAGCTTTTCTAAACTGGTTCCTTAATTGGAAACAGTCAGATTGATCTTTTGCTTAATTCAATTATTGCGGATGCCAGTTCTTTATTTGGTTATGTAACCTATATTTGCTTAATACATTTGCCTCTTATAAAGAACATTACATGTGAATTCACATGGTATTAAACATAAATTAATTGATGAGAATTTCACTTCATTATGGAACAAGCTATTAGGTCACATATCTCAAAATAAAATAGAATGGCTTATGATCCCCCTGATTTTACAAACCTTAATGTTTGTGTTAATTACATTAATGAGAAACAAATAAATATAAGGAGATTAGGTGTCAATAGAACTTCAGACGTCTTAGAACTAATTCATGTGGATATCTATGGGACATTCCTTTCGGCTTCTTAGAATGGTCAATGGTCATTTATTACGTTCATAGACGATTTTTCTCATTATGACTATATCTCATTCAAAAGGAATCTCAATAACTAGACAAGTTCAAGCTTTATAAAATAATTTAGGTTAGATCTTACCATAGTGGTTAATACTATGACGGATTAGGAGAACAACGTCCAGAGCCTTTTCCTAAATTCCTAAAGGAATGTGTAATCATCTCACAGTACAGCAAAATCTCTCTTTCTAAAGATTGCAACTTAAGTTCTCTATAAAATTCCAAATAAAGCAACTATTAAACCCCTTATGAACTTTGGATGGGCAAGAAGCCTAATTTGAAGCACTTGTACATTTAGGGTTGTTCGGTTAAGGCAAGGCCTTGTAGGCCATAAAAAAAAACAAGCTGGACTCCAAAATTGTCAGTTACTACTTTATTGGATAATTTGAAAGGTCAAGGGGTTACAAATTTTAAGATCCACTATCAGGTCAATTTTCAAAATAGAAAATGTCCAATTTTTTTACGATGCCGAGTTTACGGAAGGAGATAAGGTTATAAGGTTAAGGATTTTATCTTGGAAGAAGAATATGTACATATTTCTTCTATTACAATTGACAATGATTAGGACCAGGGACATTCTTGCTCCAGATCTAGTTTCACTCCAACTAAAGTTTATAGTTGATCCCGTTAAAGAATAAGGTAGGGCCATTTGGAATTAGGGATATTTAGATTTCATTGCATGTAATTTTCATGCAATACATCCATACTTGATCTATGTTGATTGTGTTGATATACATGACCATTAAGGGTTTAGTTATGATATTTGTAACAAAGACCGCTTTGATCCTATATTAATATAATCAATGGATGAGACTGTTCAGAGATGCTTTTGGCTATGATAGCAAAAGTTTTGATGTCATAATGTTATACACTTAGCAGGTAACATATGTGGCTCAAGTGGGAGATTGTTGGGTTTATTAATTTAGCTGGAAGATCCTGGCAATAAAGTAATTAGGTTTTCTAGTTTTGAGATTTAAAGTTTCATAAAATTCTAACAGATTAATGATAAAACAAAATAAAAATGACTCAAAGATAAGTATAAACGCAATCGTGCCATTTTTGCCTACTTTTGAAAATGAAAGTAGAAATTTGACACTAATTTCATCACCAATGAGACTTAGTTTGTCAAAAAAGAGGATGTCAAAGATGATATAATGCTGAGAAAAATAGGCTTTAAAATAAATATAACCATACTCCAACTATGGTTTTCCAACTATTAAGACTGGATAGTTTGCCCCTCCAACTCTAATAACTAGCTATTTCGATCCTCCAACTATTTGTACCCACCATTTTAGTCCTCACATTAGCACTTAAAACCATATTTGTGCCTCCATCACTAGTCAACTCCACTTTGTTCCCCCAACTACGGTTTGTACCATATTGATCATTCTTCTATCAGGAATAGGTTTAGTTCTCAAAGTATCAGTCCAATTAGGTCTTATAACTAATATTTTTCATCATTTTGGTGATTAGGTTATTCTTATGCGAGGGTCCCTTTTGCTCTCTTACTCTTCCCCAGCTCTTATTCCTTAGCTGGCTTCGTTCAGCTGACCTTTCACTTGGGGTTTTGCTCCTGGCTGGCCTAACCAAGGCTGTCAATTTGATCCAGCAATTTACAAATTTCAATTCTGATCTCCAACTATTTGTCAGCATCAATTTTGTCCTTTAGCTATCTGTCAAAACGAACTTAGTCCCTCAATTATGCCCTTCTTGAATTTTCCCTCAAACTATTATTTAGCACCACTTTAGTCCTCAAACTATCATCAGCGTCAATTTTTCTCCCTCTATCACTAAGCGACACTGTGGTTCTTCAGCTGTCCATTCCCTTCACTTCTGTACTCCATGTTCGTTTCAAACGAGTTTGGTCCCCCAACCTCAATTCGATCAAGGTATATATTAGATCATATAATTGATTCTGTTAATTTGAGTGAGTGAGTGATAAGCTGTCATAGTTGGTAGTTAATGTTGAACTGTCATGTAACTAATTCTAAACACCAGTCAGTCGATTTATATTGTTTGGATTGTAACACATGATACATGTTTTCATGAAATGAATTTCTTCTCTACGGTTGTTCTCTCCAGATTCTACTCTAATCTTCAAACCTTGATATCAGTATTCTCTTCCATTTATTCTCTTCAAACATTAATATGGTATCAGAGCAGGTTGCTTGATCTGCTGTAAGTAGTCTCAAGAAAATTCAAAACTGTTCAAACGTAGGGTGCCACTTTCTTTTCCTTTTCTTTCTCTTGGATATTGAACTGAGATCATCTTCAAGTAAATCCACCTTATATGAAACTTCGAATCCATATTACCTTCATCATTCTGATAGCCCAGGATTGGTACTAGTTTCGCAGCCTCACCGGAGAAAATTATACCTCCTGGAGTAGAGTGATGCTGATCGCATTGTCCATGAAAAACAAGCTTGGATTTGAGGATGGATCAATTGAAAAGCCTGAAGGTACTGATTCGGATGTCCTCAGCTCTTGGACTAGAAATAACAATGTAGATATTTTTTGGATATTGAATTCTGTTTCTAAGGAAATTTCTGCTAGTATTATATATGTTGAGTCCGCACATGAATTATGGCTTGATCTTAAAGAAAGTTTCCAACTGAAATATAAACCTAGGATCTTCCAGCTAAAGCATGAATTGATGAGTTTAGCTCAAGATCAAAATTCTGTTAGCATATACTTTACAAAACTGAAAACTACATGGGAAGAATTAAGCAATTATAGGCCTGTATGTTCTTGTAGCAAATGCACTTGTGGTGGTGTTAAGAATCCTAGTTCTTATTATCAGATTGAGTGCGTAATGTCTTTTCTTATAGGACTAAATGATTCTTATTCACAAGTTCGAGGACAATTACTTTTCATGGATCCATTACCGTCTACAAATAAAGCCTTTGCTCTAATCTCGCCAGAAGAAGATCAGAGGAAGATCACTAGCCAAGTTGGTTGTACTTCAGATCCTGTTGGAAGTATGACGTTTACTGTTAAATCATATAATGCTAAACGCCCTGGAATTCCTAATTCTGGAACTATAGCAATGGTAGTAATCGAAATGATTCAACAATGGAGGTTACAAAGGATAGAAGAAAGAGGGACCTTTTTGTACCCATTGCAACTTCCATGGCCATACGGTTGATAGATGCTATGAGATTCATGGCTACCCACCTGGTTACAAAGTAAGAGACAGAGATAACTCAGCCTATACCAGCAACAACATTGCAATTAATCAGGTGTCAAATCAGAATGAACAACAAAGTGAAATGGGGAGCTTTGTCCAAAATCTCAATTCCAACCAATACCAACATCTCATGTCTATGCTGTCAAATTATTTGGCCTCCTGTCAAAACTACTGATGATTTTACTACTACTTATATGGCAGGTATTTGAATCTCAATTGCATTTGAGTTCTATCTTTTCATTTACTCAATATTGGATAGTTGATTCCGGTGCTATAAGGCATATATGTTCAACTGCTGATGCTTTCGATTCTATGAAACCTTCTTAAAATTCCAAGGTCACCTTACCAAATCATACTCAAATCCCAGTGAACTACTCTGGTGACATTAGACTGAGCTCTATGCTTGTCCTCAAGGATTTTTTATAAGTTCCTCGATTCAAGTTTAACCTGATATCTATAAGTGCACTCACTTGTGGATCAAATCTCACGATCAACTTTCTTCCTGATTGCAGCAGTATCCAAGAACACAACACCGAGAAGATGATTGGCAAGGGTGATAAGTTTGAAGATCTCTATGTTCTGGATAAAAAAAACAATCTGAATTTTTTCTCTACAACATATGTAAATACCGTTTCAGCTCATATATGGCATAGAAGGCTTGTCTATCTTCTGACGTTTAGATACTTTGAAACACCATTTGCATTGTGATGTATCTAGATTGAATAAAGCTGATCTTTGTTACATTTGTCCCCTTGCAAAAGAAAGATGATTATCTTTTGATTCTCACAATCATATGTCTCAATTTCCATTTGACTTGGCGCATTGTGATGTATCTAGATTGAATAAAGCTGACCTTATCATGTTCCTTCTCATGCTGGCCACGGATTTTTCTTAACCTTGGTGGATGATTGTACTCGGTTTACATGGATTTGTCTGTTAAAGCAAAAATCTGATGTTGATACTGTTATTCTAAAGTTCTTTAACATGATATCTACACAGTTTAATACCAAAATCAACGTGTTCAGATCTGATAATGCACCGAGCTGACCTTTGCTGAATTCTTCAATAATAGAGGCGTCTTACATCAATTTTCATGTGTTGAGAGGCCACAATAAAACTCCGCTGTAGAAAGGAAATATCAACATCTCTTCAATGTTGTACGATCACTATACTTTCAATCCAGAGTTCCAATTCAATTTTGGAGTAAGTTTGTCCTTACTGCAGCCTACCGTATCAATAAAATACCCTCTCCTTTGCTCAAACACAGTACTCCTTATGAAGTCCTACACAAACGCTCAACAGACTATTCTCACTTCAAGGTGTTTGGGTGTCTGTCGTTTGCATCGACACTCTTTGTTCATAGAACCAAATTCCAACGAAGATCTAGAGTTTGTGTGTTTCTTAGTTATCCACGAGGTATGAAAGGTTATAGATTATATGATACTGCATCAAAACAGATCTTCGTATTCAGAGATGTCCTATTCCATGACGGAATCTTTCCATTTTATTCTGTTGTTTCCTCAGACGAGTTAATTGACCCTTTCCCTGATCTTGTCTTGCCAATTCCTTTACTTGAAAAGTCTCCCATCCCTCAGTTTCTACCTTCCAATCATCATAGCACACATAATGATATTCCAGCTGCTTCCCATAATGATAATTTTGAAACTTCAGATGCAGATCCACAACATTCCAATTCTTTTCTAGATAAAACTGCCCTAAGAAGGTCTACTAGAACATCAAAGCCTCCTTCCTATCTAAGAGAATTTCATTGCAATCTTTTGCACCAGAAATATTCGAATAATGAAACTCCTCCATGCACCAGTGCATATCCTATATCTAAATACTTGTCCTATAATTCCTCATCTCATACTCACATAAACTTCGTCCTAAATGTTTCATCCCAATTTGAACCTTGACATTATCATCAAGCCGTGAAATTTCCACAATGGAGGGTTGCCGTGACAGCTGAATTGGATGCTATGGGATCGAATAAAACTTGGTCAGTCACTTCATTGCCCAGCGGGAAACATTCTATTGGTTGTAGATGGATTTACAAAATCAAATACAAATCAAATGGTACCATTGAAAGATACAAAGCACGCTTAGTTGCCAAAGGACATACACAACAAGAAGGATGCAAAGAGACTTTTTACATGTAGCAAAACTAGTTAAAGTTTTGTTAGCACTTGCTTCAAGTCACAAATGGCATTTGTTATAACTTGATGTGACAATGCCTTCCTTAATGGAGATTTATTTGAAGAAGTATATATGGATCTTCTACTTGGTTATGATGTGCAAAGGAAATTCACACACACGGGGAGAAATTGGTTTGTAAACTTCACAAATCAATATATGGTCTCAAGCAAGCTTTTGAGACAATGGTACTCCAAGTTTTCTCAGCACTTATTCAATTTGGCTTTGTTCAATCTAAGGTAGATTACTCTTTATTCACCAAAGGATCTGGTGCTTCATTTGTTGCTTTATTAGTCTACGTGGATGATGGAATAGTCACTGGTCCAAACAGTCAGGTGATATAATCTTTAAAGGGTTTTCTCCACACACAATTTAAACTCAAGGATTTGGGGCCTCTGAAGTACTTCCTTGGTCTTGAAATTGCACAATCAGCCAAAGGCCAATTATTATCTCAGAGGCATTATACTCTCCAGCTTCTTGAAGACATGAGATATCTAGCTTGCAAGCCCATATCTGTCCCTATGGATCCTAAAGTCTATTCTAATGCACGTGAAGGTAAAATTCTATATGACATTTCTCAATATAGACAACTAGTTGGACGCCTTCTTTATCTTACTTTATCCCAACCAGACATCACTTTTGCTGTCCACAAAATCAGCCAATTTTTGGCTAAACCTCATAGACCTCACTTTAAAGCTACGCATCATCTCCTAAATTATCTTAAATCCAATCCTGGACAGGGTTTGTTCTTTTCCTCCTCATCCTCTCTCCAGTTAGAGGCCTTTTCAGATTCTGATTGGGGCTCATGTCCAGACACCAGGAAATCTATGATTGGTTTCTGCATATTCTTAGGTAACTCCCCAGTATCATGGAAAATAAAAAGCAGACCATTTCTCGTTCCTCAGCAGAAGTGGTATACAGAGACTTAGGGGGTGTTCTCTTTGTGTTTCAATTTTGTGTTTTGAGTTTTGAATTCATTTTGAGTTTTGTGTTTTGAGTGTTTGTTTTGAAATTGTTGAAAATGCGTTCTTTTTGTTAGTTTCTCAAAACAAAAAACAAAAAAAAAAAATTTTTTAAAATTTTGAGAATCACCACAACACCACCTCAAAACACCAAAAAA